CGATGCTTTTGTACAGTATATTGACTGAATCAAAGCAGTTACGTCACAACGTCAAATAATGACAGTGACGAACATGGTTGCCACGTTTCTTAAAACTACTAGATCCTAGGAAATAAACCACAAATAAACAACAGCCATTGGCGTAATTGCCTGACAAGCTTTGCGACAATGTCACATACAACACAGAAAACTGTTACCAACATAAACAAATGTATCCGGGAAATTCAAACTATACGCACTAATTTAGGATCTATTTTGCATTAAGGTTGAGATTCAAATTTACTAAATATGACGTAACTGCTTTGTTTCAGTGAAAGGACTATAAATGACTCAACTGTTTTTATATCTACACATATATTTTTCTGAATTTTATGATCCGTAAATGTTCAACTGATATTGAACTTTGAATAACGGAATATAAAATATGACGATGAAAAGACGGGTTGGCCAAATTGTGACTTTCAATCACCAATAATCGTCTCCACTTTTGTGGATGTACAAAACAAGCTTTTTCAGGCGTACTGGCGGTCGGAGAAAAAGACATTTTCTTAATTATAGTGATCGCAAATCATTGACCTGCAGCATTCACTGAAGGTACGCCGGTGGATTTGATCAAAATTGCCCAGTAAATATCGGTTTCTATGTGGTTATTACATTACGTTGTACTTTGTGATTATTCGCCGCATGATTGGGAGAAATCTACGTACAAACTACACTACCGGCCGAAAAAAACAACTGGTTATTGTGGCCAGTGTATCCTTAAAAAAAGCGCGTCAAGTAGATTAACTCTATACTTCTTACGACTTCGTGGGAGATTTCAAAGAAGAGGATGAGTCAGTTTATTTAAAAAGGGGAAGTCGAATCGTGATTGGGCAGGTTCATTTAGGTACGATGAATATTCGACCTCATTAAACTATATACAGGGTTATCCAAATTAAGTGTCCACCATTAGTAACTTTGTTATTAGTGAAAATACAAAGTTGTTTGAATTAGCAAACTAGTAGCATTTTTAACGCTGGTAAAAATGAGAAATAAAAAAAAACAATTGAGAGTCGTTATTTTGATTTTTTTCAGTAAAATAACATTTTTTTAAATGGAAACCCCTGTATATTATATTTTTTTCTGTTAAAGCATCAAATTTTAAACAAAAAAGCTTACAATAACTTTTCTCCTAGGTTACAAATTGTTGAAGTTATGGCCTCCAATCTGAAACAATTAAATTGTATCGACAAACTTTATTTTCAACATCAACTTATAATCTTACAAAATACAATAACAATTTTTTTTAAAGAAGATGCTCGAAAACACCACCTTGTTCTTCAATACATTTTTGGGCACGTTTTTCAACTGCTCGAACTGTCTTAAGTATGGTCCTACCATCTATCTGGGTTATCTTTTCCCTAACTGCAGTCTTTAACGCGTCAAGGTTATCGTACCTTCGCTTGTAAATTTGGTTCTTTAAGTAACCCCACAAGAAGTAATCAAGTGGGTTTAGATCTGGTGATCTGGGAGGCCACTGTATTGGGCCATTTGTTTCTATCCACTGATCATTAAAAGTAGTACTTAGAAAATGATAAGTACCTCTGGAGTTGTGGGCAGGTGCGCCATCTTGCTGAAAATGCAGATGATGTCTACTTATAAGATCCAATTCGTCTAAGAAATTAGTCAGAATTTCTGACATAAATTCCACATATCTTTCACCAGTTAGGGTTCTCTCATAAAAGAATGAGCCAACAATTTTTGAACCAATTATACCGCACCAAACGTTGAAACTGAAACGGACTTGTGTGCCTCTTGGATGTACTAACAAAAGATTTTCTCTTGACCAATAATGGTGGTTTTTTCTATTAAACATTCCAGAATTTGAAAAATTTGATTCATCTGTCCATAAAAGGTAACGAAAGTTATTTACATTTTGGCGACAGAAGCTAAGATACCAATGGAAAAAAACAAGTCTTCTCTCTGGATCGCCTGCCAAAAGCGTTTGAACTGGTCGGTACTTATACGGAATAAATTTGTATTTTTTTAAAATCCTTTCAACAGTACCATAACTGAAATTAGAGTCCTTGAGAATATCTGCTATTGAATTCTCACGATAAGCTTCAAAATATCCAATAACTGCAATTTCCGTGGCCTCGCTTATTATGAATTCTTTTTTTGCCCTTGTTTTAGCAAAAACATTTTCGTTGCCCCTAAATTTTCGATAAAGTCTCAGAAAATATCGTTCATACGGTTGAATGCGAGCGGGATATAATTCACTGTCTTGCTCTCAAGGAGGATTTTCTGCACACTAAATAGCATTCTAACATATCACACTTTTCTTCATGGGAGAACATTTTTCTTTAAATTAATGACACAATAAAGCTTATAAAGAAGTATTTACACTAATGTTTGACATTATTTGATTTTATCATTGTTTTCCAAAGCCTTCTAGTTGCGAGTATGTCCAGTTTAACAATTTGTCGCTTATCTTAATGCTGTCAAATCGCGAACGCCATGTTGTTTTCATAGCCGTCTTAATATTATAATACTGCAAATAATTAAAAATATTTATCGTTATTTTGACTTTATTTTTGACTTTAGCGGAAAAGTCATTATGAACTTTTTTGTTTAAAATTTGATGCTTTAACAGAAAAAAATATAATATACAGGGGTTTCCATTTAAAAAAATGTTATTTTACTGAAAAAAATCAAAATAACGACTCTCAATTGTTTTTTTTTATTTCTCATTTTTACCAGCGTTAAAAATGCTACTAGTTTGCTAATTCAAACAACTTTGTATTTTCACTAATAACAAAGTTACTAATGGTGGACACTTAATTTGGATAACCCTGTATATAGCAAATCTGTCATATTTCTGTTTCCATAGCAGATGTATGTATAGTATCACTGAGATCAGTAGCTTCTTAATAATGAAGGTCTTTCATCGACGCCAAATAAATATGCGACAATTTACAACCATTTACTGCATACAGCTTCCAACCTACAATTATTTTCATCCTCTTCAAACAAAGTCTGAAAATGAGCAGGAATCTCTTTTATTTTTTACGACTACCTAAACGATGGAAGTATTAAACTCGCGATAATATTCGAACTTTTTTGTTGCTTAAAGATATCTGCGTCACACAAGTCCGTGTTTCTCATTTATATCGGTTTGTCAGTCCGTGTCTGTTGTATATCAATGCGTCATAAGTACTGAGTCAATCTACTTGACAAAATATTCAGTTAACCGTCATAGGAGTAACACAAATTAAAGGTTGGGCGGATCAAAAAACTTCGAAGAAATAATATAAATAAATATAAAATATCCAAATATTTCTAAAATATATAAATATTCTCCTGTAGCGGTGTGTCAGTGACGACACCACCGCAAATTCACTAGTTGTAGTGTCACCCATTACACAGTCGGCAGTGGCCTGCATGATGATCTAGCGTCGCGCCGTGCACGCAACGCCAACGATTGCCGAGTTATTTCAACTTATAAGCACATTTACATCGGGCTTTTATCATTTAATTTTACCAGTGTTACCGGGATCAGACGCGTCGTAATGATAGAACGTCTCTGACCAATACTAAAGACGAAACATTTACCAACCCCTACAACCTCCAACCCCCAAAGAGACCGAGGGAGATCAGTGACATGGTTTTTCGTGATGTACATGTCAAATAACATAATTTCTCAATTTCAATTTTTTTGGGATTACAATACTTCCCCATCAGTTTTAACATAAGAAGTAAAAATGACATAATTCATGCAGGTGGTGGGACATAAGAATGTTTAGTTTATGCTATTTTATAGGTCTGCAATATGCTGCTATGACTGAAAATCTAGAAAAACCAAAAAGAGGATGTATCGCATTCAATATATTTCGTCATCGGTCACCGTGGCTGAGTAGCCTAAGCGTCCTCCTAGAATACAGGATAGTCGTTAGTTCAAATCCTAACTGGGTCAAGTTTTTCTTTCTCTCTTTGGATCTGTCTTAGGTCAAACATGAAACGTTCAAAATAATACCACGCCGCTTTAAGCCGGCTCCGACGCAATGAGTTTCAAGCCATTTACAAGGGTTCAGCTGCTTCGAAACTGACATTCTATTTTCCAATATTTTTGAATCAAGTTCATACAGTATGTCCATAAGACAATTGCCCAGGGTGCTATCGGAGCACTTTTTGAAATTTTCATCACGAAAAACTAATCACTTATTTCTGTAAATCTGTCTGTCGGCCAACCATTTGCCCGTCTATAACTTGGAAATTACCTGCCCGGATTTTTATGAAACTTCCACACAAAGTTACTACTATGCCAAAGCTTTGTAGTTTCAATCCAGTGGCGACGGTGCTATAGGCAAAAAACGAATAAAATAACAATCGCTGAAACTCCTTTCTTGACGTTTCAGGGGTTTCTAATCATTGTCATAAAAAATTAGTGCTTAAAAACTGGGGGTTAGGGCCCCCTGACGTTTCCTTTTCATCCTCCCGTTACCTCAGGAGATGGTCCTCGTGGTCGTGGGAACCGCGTTAATGAAGATTTAACCAATGTCCATTTTTGTCGATTTTACGTTTTTTACTATGATATTGGCGCTTTTATTTTTATGGAAAAGTATTCTATAAATAGAAATGATCCTAAATAGAATTACTAAGCGACATATACTCGTTCTCCGTGACAATCCGATTTTCTTATAAAAAGTTAGGCATATAATAATCCTGACGAAGCCTTTCCACACAAACATTACTGGAAATAGGGTAGTTCTGTTCTACAGAAATCTAGGGTACTAACAGTGAAGTAACCTACCTGGTTCCACGATTTTCTCTCCACTACAGGTAGGCAAAATTTCAAAATGTTTGAGAATTAAATACAATTTTTGAAAATAGTTTTTTTTTAACGCAAATAAAATAAAAAATGCTCTTTGTACACTCATTTCCATCCAACGCCAGGTCTACTATAGGAATGCGATAAACATTGGCGAAAAAATCTGTTATCTCAAAGTAATTTTTTAACATGACGATGATGAGGTTGGCGTGTACAGAGTTCTAGATAAAAATGTTACCATTCCTGCGTCATGAACCATACAGTTTGCAGCGATTTGTGTATAATATAACATAGTGTGGATGTGTTTCTACTGAAAAATATGGATTCAAAATAGGATCATGATAAGGAATACGTGCCCAAATCACCGTCAGGTAAGAGTATAGTGTCGAAAAGTGATGTTTAAAAAAATACTTCAAGGTTTAAAAGTCAATAAATACCAGTGCAAATCTGCCTAGAAATGAGCTTTAGAGAAAAAAAATGTGTTTTATTTCAAATAGACGAGGCGAAAAATTCTCCAACTTGATTCTTTTCATAATCACATTTGTTGAACACACGTTAACGGTTAACTGGATTGGTAACTAGGTGCACATTTTTTTAAACAAATTAAACATCGTCTTTTGGCTTTGGGAAATGCTTTTTTGATTTTTCATATCATTCTGAACAAAAAGTAGTTAGTAACTATATAATAATAATAACGTTTATTTTACTAAGTTCAATTTGCTGGTGAGGCAAAGATGTAAATGTACCATAAACGTAAAGGAAAACATAACACGTGATTTTCACATAATCCATTTCAGTTTTTTTCACATTTTCAAACTGCCATGTAAAGCCCGTTGAAACCAAAATGGTTGGTTGTGCGCGGGCAGATTTTTTTATGATTTTACTATTTTTGCTTAGAGCAAGATGCACATATCAGTTTAGCTAAAAATTATGACATTAGAAGTATGGAGGGTAATGTACGATTATTATTAAACAATTTCCACTAGCAGCCTCCTGGTCTCTTGTCTACCAATTGAAAAAATATATTTCCAAGTATTCTTACTCTATTTATTCTCTAAGCTTTTCCCTTTTTGGGGTTTAGTCTGAAGACCCCTAAAACAACCAGTTTCAATACTTAAAAACATAGTTAAAAATCATTATCCTTCATCAAGTCAAGTGTTTCAATTAAATCCTTCCCCTACAAGACCCCGAACATTATTTTGAGCTTGCTTTATTTTGAAGCACTGTTATTTAATTTTAAAAAACGCGCTATCCTTTCAGCCCATGAAACACCTTGAAAACGTTTTCCGGAACCAAAAAACTTTTTTTTTGTAATTGCTTAAAAAAAACGATGATTATTAAAAAATCGAGTTGGAAAATTTAGCCTCGTAAAACTGTAAGATCGACTGCCGTCAAAGGCTGGCGATCCTTTTTAATCATAACTACTTCTGATCTTATTTTAATATTGTTATCGAAACTTTTGAACGGAAAGGAAACAAAATAAAAAACCGCGTTCCAAATGTCCGATTTTTGGGCTTACTCACGCAAAAATAGCTACATAGGTCCGTAGATCCGTTGTCTTCGGAGGAGATAGATGTTGAACATCGAAAAGTACGTTTCAGACCCAAAAAAGTGAATTTTAGTTTAAACGAAACTGAAAAAAGTATCTCTCGGTAATTTATAATATTCGTCGAGATGTTCAAAATGCATTATGCGAAATTTCTTTTCCATTTGCCGTAGAGAATTTATCGGCTTCTTAACGAAAATTTGTCATTTTTCTCTTTTTTCGTTGGAAATTTCTAGAAAAAAGTAAGATGCGGACCCAGAAAATACCGAACGCATATCATTTAGCTATTTAAGGCGACCGATCTCGAGCCGATATTTTGAGAAAGGACCTGCCGTTTTTTTTTTACTTTAACCGCCGTTTTCGATCGTTTTTCGTCCTCGTGCCGCGATAGTTCGTCCGAAAACCCGCACCGACGTCAAAACCCCCGATCCAGACTCGAGAGGGGAGGTGAAAAAAAACACAAAAGATCACCGCTTGATATTATCGATTGCTTCACTATACATGTGGCTTTAATGTGGAAATATCAGATGTTACCGAATTCGTTTATTTGGGTATTTGTATCACATTTTGAGAGTTAATTTTTTTTTTGGAAATATATCTTCTGTTTGTTTCAGATCAGATGAAGACGACCCAAGTGGTAGCAAATACGGCAGAATGGAAGATGACAATATGCAAGACAAGGAAAGATTTGCCAGGTATCTATCAATCCTCATAGATAGTTTTTCATACCTTGAGATGATGCAATTTAACCATGTGCTAAATCAAAACAACCGAATTCTTGATTTAATTTTTTGTAACAATAATAATTCTATAAAAAGTTTAGTCCGTTGCGTCAATCCTTTGGTTCCAGAAAATTATCACCATCCTTCACTCGAATTTCTCTACGAAGCTTTTAAGGTGCGGTCTCTATCCAAAACAAATTTTACAAAACATAATTTTCACAAAGCAAACTATATGGATATTAATGTGATTTTGTCGATTGTCAGTTGGGATGAACTGTTTTCGCGTTGTTCGGATGTTAATGAAATGGTTGAAAGTTTCACGGTTAAGCTTAAAGATGTAATTGAAGCTTGTGTTCCTAAATTCAAAATTAAGCATAACTACTTTAAAAAAGAAACTATCAGAACTATAGAACGGAAGAAAATTTATCACAGAAAATTTAAATTATACTAAGTGACATATAAATCCGAACACCCAGTTTAAATGGTTTTATTTTAATAAAATTTTGTATAAGTACTTAATGAAGCATAATGAGTAAATGATAAACATTTCAAAATGATTGCACTGCTTTAAAGCCCTTTGACCTTTAATAATGTGTGGATGCACCCTGATGTGCTACGCATCCTCCAACGCGCCTAGGCATGCTTCTGATCAGGTGGTCAACGTCCTCCTGACGTATCTCATTCCAGGCAACCACCAACTCCTCTCGAAGTGCTTCTAGAGTCTGAGGAGGACGTTGCAAATTGAGCAATCTCCTACCCATCGTATCCCACACGTGCTCAATTGGGGATAAGTCGGGAGATCTTGGTGGCCATGGTAACAATGTGACATCATTATGTTGAAAGAAGTCTATTGTGACTCTTGCAACATGTGGTCGGGCATTATCTTGTTGGAAAGTTGGATCTGCCAGGGTGTCAAGATAGGGTAAAAGATGGGGTTCTAGAACTGCTGCGCGTTCATGTTACCTCTGATGAAGATTAAAGGTGACCTGGAACCATAAGCTATAGCACCCCAAACCATAACTCCAACAGTGTGATGAACATGTCTTTCAACAAAAAACTGTGGATTCCTCCTTTCTCCACGTCGCCTTCTAACCCTGGCACGACCATCCTGCATGCCTAAACAAAATCGAGACTCGTCACTAAAGACAATACCGTTCCATTCCTGATCCCAGAGTGACCGTTGTCTGCACCAGTCAAGGCGATTACGTCGGTGTTCTCGAGTTAAAGGTAGGACCCAGTGTGGCCGGTATGAAAACAAGCCAAAACTTCTCATTCGTCGGTAAACACTTCGCATGCCAATAGGTCTTCCGTGTTCTGCAAACCATTCATTTGCAATGGACCGGGTAGTGGAGAAACGGTCCCTTAAGGCCAATAATCTTAGGCGGCGATCTTCACGGTCTGTTGTTCTACGGCGGCGTCCAGTGCCCCTTGCTCTTTGCGTACGGCCTTCTCGAAGCCATGCCTGACAACACCTAACCACAGTGTCTACACTTCTTTGCACTCTAACTGCAATTGCCCGAAAAGAAAGTCCAGCTTCCCGAAGTCCCACTATACGGCCCCTATCAAACTCACTAAGTTGACGAAATCGTACAGGTCTCCGTACTCTAGGCATCGTAACCGATCGTAAAGGATGTCAAGAACCAAAATCCGCCAACGTTGATTCTTTACTGCGGCTGAAATATTCATTTTTAGAGCGTTAATGAATTAAAAAAAAGCAGTATAAAAACCGGAATGTCCAACTGATAAGGCTGAAAATTTGTTCACTTGTTACGAGTATTTACAGTAAGATAAATACGAGTAAATCGTACATTCACCAACTTTTATTAAAATAAAACCATTTAAACTGGGTGTTCGGATTTATATGTCACTTAGTATATATAACGACTCAGCAGCTTACTCTCAATACTCCGCATTGAGGAAAAAATCCAAGCTTTTGATAGCCAAAGATTTTCAAAACTATGCAACAAATACATAGGATGAAACCCAAGTTGACTCAAAGAGATTTTGGAAATTTATCGCAAACAGTAGAAATTCAGATACAAGCATCCCCCAGGAAGTAAGATACAAAAACAAAAGGGTTAATCAGCCAATTGAAATATGTAATTTATTTGCCGAGTACTTCGGTAGCGTCTTTTCCACAAATAATGTTTCCGAAAGTCCTGTGGATGAAGGAATACTTAAAGGCATACAAACTATTCATGAAAATCACGTACTTGAAATTATTGACTCTCTAGATATCAAGAAATCTGCAGGAATTGACAATATACCTCCATTATTCATCAAAAAATGTAAAATGAATTTGTATAAACCCCTTACACTAATTTACAACACCTCCTTAGAATATAACACATTTCCCGATGCCTGGAAGAAATCATCCGTTACGCCTTTCTTTAAAAGTGGAAACAAGTACATGGTAGACAACTACAGGCCTATTAGCAAGCTGTGCATAATCTGGAAGATCTTCGAAAAGCTAATTTATAAGGAAATATTTTTTGACGTAAAAAACATAGTTATTCAGGAACAGCATGGATTTTTTCCGAAAAGATGCTTGGATACCAATTTGCTTTGTTTTTCTGACTTCGTTTCTGTTGCTTTGGAGAGGAATGTCCAAGTCGATGCTATTTATACTGACTTCAGCAAATCTGTCGATCGAGTTAATCATAATTTGCTATTAAGAAAGCTGGCTGACGTTGGTGTTCGTAGCACCTTTGTCAACTGGGTTCCATCTTATTTGCGTGATAGGGAGTCTTTGTGTGTATAAACGGGAATAAGTCGAAAATTATTACTCCGACGTCGGGAGTTCCTCAGGGTAGCCACCTAGGTCCTCTGTTCTTCCTAATCTATATTAACGATATCGCTCAAGGTTTCAGCCATTGTCAATTCCTTCTTTGTGCAGACGATGTAAAGATGTGCCGTATAGTTGAAAACCTTCAGGACTGCACCAAAATACAATGCGATATCATCAGACTCAATGATTATTGTCAGAGAAATGATCTGCCACTCAATATTAATAAGTGTTTCTCAATTATCTTTACCAAAAAAAAGAACGTTTTACAGTATTCGGTGAGCACTATACGGGACCTGGGTGTTACACTTGATACGAAATGGTTATTAAAACCACATAGATAAAACCATTAACAAAACCAATAAGATGCTTGGCTTTATTAGGAGACACTCTGCATACTTTAATAATCCTGCTACCCTGGTATCACTATATTATGCGTTTGTACAAAGTAAGCTTTCATACGCGTCTATTATTTGGATCCCACACTACGAAGTCCATATAAGAAGGATTAAGCCTGTCCAACATAATTTTCTACGGGTTTTGGTATATAAGGCGAATATCAATATACATAATCATGATTATAGCTTGGTAATGGAACGTTTTAAAATCTTACCTGTATTTAAGAGAAGGGTATTATCTGATTTGTACTTTATTCACCGAATCTTAGACAATCAAATTGATTCTTTTTACCTTTTGTCTAAAATCAATATGTGCCGCCAAGGGTAAACCAGAGGCACTGTACGTACTTCAAAATAAATCTCAATACCTATGATGCATTTTCTGATATTTTTGTTTGCCAATTCTTAAACTTTAAATACCTATTAAAGCACATGATGTTAGCTACACCCTTGTAAACGACGCTACTGTTCTTTAACTTTCTTCTTTGCATCCTTATTGCTAAGTTGTTTCACATGCATTTATATTGTTTTATAACAGGGCTTGTAACTTGGTATTCTTTGTAAGCTATGTGTGGATGTCTTTTTTGGAGAATTTCTCTGTTTGACATCCCGAAATTCTTAAATAAATAAACTGCGTGATTTGACCAATTATGCAATTAGCTTTCGAACAGCATCATTTACTGTTCTCTAAATTTTGGCTTTTATAATCGGGTGCGTTATGCTTTTTAAATCCCATATATTTTCATCTGTTCGAAAATCCAATATGGCGTCCGTATTAAAAAATAAAGTTAATGCTGGTGGACAAGAGATGAAACGTTATATTGAAATTCTAATTGTGCCATCTTGTAGAGAAGAAAAAATGGCATTGTAAATATGCATTTTATTTTGAGATCCCAGTACAAATAAAGTCAGGAAAAACTTGTTTTTTCCGCCTCTCTTCGGAAGTATTTGAGTTTCGAAACTTTCTATGCGGCATTTTGTTGATTACTTATCTAAATGCATAACTTTGCTCCCATTTCAGCGACTTTGTATCTCTTACCGTTTCTGAGATTCCAATGGTGAGGGTTGACTTTGAAACACCCTGTATTCGGTATATTATACGATTCTGATCTTGAGCTTTTATAAAAACACTATTAGGAATTTTCGAATGCCGTCGGAATGTGAGAATAGGTTTAAACGGCATATTATGTAAAATAAAAACCGTCGAAAATGTGTTTCCCTCATAGCTTACATTACTGGGCACAATAGTTCCAGACGCCTTGTACATCGATGGGTTTTTTGTATTGAAGCTAGTTGGTAACAAAACGTAAATTTTTAAGTGGCAATTCCTTATGAATTATTCAGGGACTTGGGGCAGAAAATTGTAATGCCGACTCAAGAATTTCCATTTTTTCGATCAATTGGATATAATTTCTGCTTAATCTTTGGATTTGAATATAGGCGTTGCGAGCTACTTGGTTATCATACTTACTATTACTAATATGATACCAGGTGACTTATACAGGATGTTAAAGAATGTTGCTAGAAAAAAGTTTTCGTAGACATAGGTGCATAATGCTTTTCCGTTTTTGATATTTTATTTTAAATTTCTCGAAAACAGATTGACATATCGATATGACTTGGTCACATTAAAATATGCAATATTGTGTTGTAAGGCACTTACATCATTCTGTATTAGCGATGAAACGATACGCCACTGGTTTTTGCAAAAGTAGTATTATCTTAAAGCGCGATTATTCTACACACCGCGCTTTGAAAATTTTCATTCAGACGCGCATATTACGATGATT